GTTGAACGATCTATTTTATTTAACAAATATTATTGCGTTTTTGATGTGTTTGAATTGTACGGGAAATTAATAATGTCTCTGTTATCTTATTTGTTTCCGTTGAACATGTTTGAATGGGGTTAAATAGTTTTACTGAATGTTAATATAATAATATATAAACACTATTATCATGGAAGATTAATTTTTGTTTAGTGTTTATTAAATGTGACCGGAATAATAATTTTTGTCTTATGTGAGATGTTATCTGATGATATCTCCATATAGTGAGCGTGATACCATTTTTACATTAAGTTAATATTTTAGTTTAGCTGATTAAGTACCTATCTATTTCTGAGTTTTGCCCGAGACAGTCCTCTTTACTTTTAATTATTACAGCCTATAGAACTTTATACTTATATGGGTAGTAACTGTAAGATAAAATGAAATTAAAGAGCAACTACAAATAATGTTTCAGGCATAATTTGTATAAAATTATGCCTTGAAACGTTATCTAGTTCCCAAACTATACAAAACTTTGTATAAACAATAGGTAGGTACAGTGTAACTGATACAAATACCTTTACATTGGTTACCTTTCCTTTGGTAAATAAATATTTATTATAGATATGTGAACATCAAGACACTAGGAAACACTGTGCATACCTTGCCGCAAGATACAAGCACTCGAAATAGTAGCCATTTGTTTACATAAGTGCTACGCGGCGATAAGGAGGTATTCCTAATTTACTAAAGTTCGCGGACAAAATTCTTAAGCTTTACTCTAATTTAAGTATGCTTAGTAAAAATACTTTGAAAAGATAAGTGAACTTTGTATGCAAATTAAAGTTCTTAGTACTCACGCGATCGCCAAGGCGAAAAATAATGAGGCTGTGGAAAAAAGAGTTTTTATAACTTATTAAAATAAAGTAAAATTTTGTTACGATTACATTGCTTTCAAATCCAAGAAGGGTTGATGTAAGATGATGAGACACGTTGTGCCGACCATGGGACGGAAAAGAGGAGAAAGAAAAAGGCCTTGGCCTTTTACTTTCTCCTGATGTAGATTGCTTTGACAGAACGCAATAATTTGCATTTTATTTGTAAAATTACTTTAATTTCTTTTTAAAATTTATTTATTATTGAAATGTTAGTATATAACAAAACAAATGTTCTTTTGCTTGCTAGCAATAACGAACCCTTTGCTTGAATTATAAAATTTTTCCCAACATTGTTATGTGAATTTTGCAGGATTTTAACATTTCTGATTGTACATTGAGTACTTCAACTATTTTTTTAAACGAACATTATTATTTGAACTGGTTGGATAAGAATATGTATGAATAACATTCACCCATTAGAAGTAGGATTTCACTATTTGAACGTTCATTAGAGAGTGGATCAGTTTTCATCGTTGCCTCTCTTCATAATTACGGACTTAGGTTGCCAGTAACGACCTATGAAACAACGCGTTAATATTGTGGTTGGTTGTTGATATTCCCGTAAACTTACCGTTTCCCCTAAGTTTTTTTCTCATTACAAAACGACTTGAATAGATCCGTAATAGTCAGAAATAAGTGAAACTGATTTCTTCTCTCGATGTAACTGTATATTCTCTATAATTATTTTATTGTTATTCTTATTAAACTTCACTCGAGCAAGCAAAGGCTTGCCCTTTCAGTTATTATGAAGGCTTTATCTGTCTCGTGGCGGCATGGTGCATTATCAGACTGCGTTTCACTGAATACTTTATTTGCACCATTACACAAATATGTAGATTTCGTCACGGCGCTTTTCCTCAACGTCATGCATATTTTGGATGATCTCTTAAAATTGAAAAACAATCCATGGGGATGCGAACTCGTTTCAGCAACACTGCTTCAGTTATTGCGATGTTAAAATTTGTGTGTTCCATAAATCCTTGTCTTATCTTTGGTTTGGAGTGTGGCCTTTTCCTGCACCGCGAACAATACAGATAAAACGAAACAAATATTTAAAAAAGGTTTTTATGTGTTTTGGTTAGTTTGTACATAATTTTTATATATAAACTTTTAGCTTCCATTTAAACTTTGTGTCCACAAAACTCAACAAGTACATTTTCAGAAACAGAAACAGAATAAATATCTCATTTTATTTGATTTCGAGGAGTTCTCTTATTTACATCCAGAATCCAAGGTCTACTACCAATAAAGTTAATACGTGACCACATCGGAGCAAAAACGAATCCAATGCAATAAAAAAAGTAACAAACAAAAAAAAACGCACAACCAAAATGAGAACCTCCATTTTTTTAAGTCGTTTGAACTAGCTGCTGCATTGATTTGATGTTTGTTCACAACATAACTATTGGCATGAGAGTGTTTTTAAATACTTTTTATTTCGATATTCTTTTTAAACGAAAGGAAAGGACACAGTGAAGCGTGGCCGAGTTCAGCCAGTTTCATACCAAACGAATTTTATACTATTTCATTGAGTTTCGTTTCATACGAGGATTCCAGAGAGGTTGTGCAACAATTTGAAGATGAATAACAAATGAGTGCTTAATGTTATACTTCCGCGTTTCGTCAGATAAGTGAGGGACCCGCTTTATTGAAAGTTTTTCAACACATTTATACGGGTGTTGCAAATATCCATTTACGGTTGTTATCACTTAAAATCAGGCGAACCGTCAGGTCGCTTGTCATATTCTTACGAGTACATAAATAAAATAAAATAGTCGTAAAATAACTTTAACAGGATGCAATAGTATACATTTGATTTATAAGTGTTTTATAGACAAAATTACTTAAATTTTACAAAAGAACAGCTATTAATTTTTTTTCATATATATAGAAAATAAATGTTCTTTTTTATTCAATCCCTTTGTTTGAATTTAAAATCCAACAATTAAAAAAGAAAATAAAACAGTAGTAAAATAACTTAGACTTTTGTTGTAATATTTTTAGTGAATTTCTGTTAATCCATCGCAAAATCGAAAGCAAATATAAACGATTGTTGGGCACTTACATTACAGCCGGCGGCGTCGTTGAAGCCTTGGGGTACATATGACGGTGCTTCATTACAGGGACGTTCAAACTATGATAATGAAAACAGCTCGTTCGGATCACAAATTTATTGACGTGGCAGTTACTTTGAGCTACACAAATTCCATCCGTATTTTATTTACATTCATAACTTATGCGCTATAAATATTTCGTAACAATAAGCAACAACTTCAATCAAATGCGTTCATTAAATATGTTAATTTCGTATATCGAATAATGTACGAAATTAACAATGAATATGAAGAAAAACAATTTTATTGACAAAAAAATATAAAAGAGTCGATGAACAACTCCAAGCTTAAGAAAACGTTGTACGAAAATAGATGGAAGCGAATTGTAAAATAATAACATTTTATGAATGTTCTTACAATGAATTAAACCTATTCAAAATATTCTTTCGTTTCTTATACTTTTTAAATTATCCATTTAAAAAAAATGTTAAATAAAAAAAGTTACTTTCTTAAAATACAGGCATAAAACCGTGGAATGTGTTATAAGTGCATAACCCTTCCTCATGTAATGAAATATTTCATGCTTTAAATTGGGTTTCGTTTATGAAAGGGAAATGTAACAATACTTTAAAATAGTAATTGCCCCAAAACTGCAACCGGCCATTTTATTGATACTCAAATCTAAAGTAAATATCGTAATATCCTAATCCATAGTAAATCTATGAAGTGAAATTAAAAACTGATATAAGAAAAACAAAGAATTTTCGGTAAGTATACTGTTAATAAGCTGCCAGTCGTAATTAATGATATTATATTGTTAATTATTTATCGTTAATAAATTAATAAACTTTTAAATTGACTTCGTAATTTTATATAATATGTACATAAAGATATGTAAGCTTAATTTGAACGTTCTTTGTTCTGTTTGCTAGATTATCTATCCCTGTACAATTTTGTAATAGGATAAAGAATGTGTTTATTTCTAGCCTAAAAATTACTTTACAATAATTTAATACATGTAATCTATTTCATTATCGTCATGCAAAAAATACTTGTTATAACAAAAAGTAGCTTTGTTATCGTGACTAGGTTAAAACGATTCGCGGTATTTTGTGAAATATTTGTTACAATTATTATTACTATAAATCCACGCCTGTCTGTCTCCATCCGTAATGTTTTATTTTAAGAAAACTTTAACTTAACTTTGGGCCATCAAGCTTATTAACCCTCATGAATAAACAATTGTATGAATTTTAATAAAAAAATATTGAAGATTTTACATACCTGCAAGCTGCTAACTTTTTCATCAATTTAAGGTAAAAATTGAAATGAAATAATTTTTTGAGCTTTTTAAAGTTTTCTTTTGGATTCTAATTACCAATTATCATTTTTAGGTTGTTGGCAGTTACGAATTACATTACATTTAACGCCAACTGTATTCAATAAATAATGTACATTGGTAATATTATATTAATTATTTTATTATATAACATGGAATATATTAGTCCTTATGTTAATGTAGCAAAAGTAAAATCCATCATAGAATTTATAACTTATTTATGAATTTGGGTACAACAACTAAATTACGTATATTTAGGGTAACAAAGTTAATTCAGTTTACACTTTCAATTTCAGAAATATATACTATTTAATAATTATGAGAAAATTTTTAGATATTTGTTTTAAAAACAACATTGATTTATAAAAAAAAATATATATCAATAGAATATATTTTTTTACCTCTTCGTTCTTTTTGCCTCACTTTGTTTCAGCCAACATCTTTCTTCTAGCAAATCCATTAGGTTCTGAAGAATATGGAATCATTCCGAACACGTGTCAAAAATGTAATTTTTAAGACTCATTATAGGTACATTTAGATTTAAATGTCATTGTCTTGAAAGACTCTTATACAGTTCGTAAGAATATTTACAAAGTAACTTATACGCCTCTAACTCCGTAGTGAGGCTTATAATTTAAAAAGAAGAAAATTACAATATCGTTAATAAAGCTTTAACAGAGGATAACGTCAATTCTCGTTCAGAATGCTCTTCAGAATTTTCAGTGTTGCTATACACGTTGCTATGAGATGAAGGGTGTGTTTGTTACGATCTTGTAGCGTAGACGACCCAGCTGCTTGCACGCGGTCTGCTCTAGACGCACCCTCGTTGAAATCCCTCGATCTTGAGTACCCCTTCAGCCTTTCGCCCTGGACACTCTCCTCGTTGCTCCGCCAATACACCGTCGCTATCGTTGCGAGACACTGCAAGGAAAATTTTGTTTGTTTATTTGTATTTTATTATTTACTAGCTGCTGCCCGCGACTACGTCTGCGTAGAATAGGATGAGGGCGTAATATTCAGATAGAAAGACAGATACATAAAATATGTATATAAATTATAGCCTACGTCTTATTCTGATGATTAAGCCATATTTTTGTAAAGCGTGAATATTTGCGTGAAAGAGTGACAAACATCCATCCATACATACAAACTTTCGCCTTTATAATATTAGTAAGATCAGTAAGGATTCCACACAAGGGAATACAAAGAAAGAAGATACAGGAAATATTATAGTGTACATACAGGCGGCCTTATTGCTAAGGGAGCAATTCCTTCCAGGCCACCTTAGGGTACAGGATGTAGATAATAAAGTTGCGGGATAACGGTGCAAAAATAATTACATTAATACATATGTAGAGATCAATCCGAATGTATGTTGCATCAATCAAAAATCGAAGTTGAGCCTTGTACTTCATACTGCTGTAACGAATCTACGATCTTCTACCTGCAACGATTTTGATCGTATCTCTCAAAGTAATGTTTGTTCTACGGCAAAGTTTCATTTTTTGTAAGATGGCAAGAGAGCTGGCGGTTCACCGGATGTTGAGTGTCGACCGCTTTCTATGGACACTTGCTACACCCATAGCAAGTCAGTGTTAGCTTATGATAGTAAAAAGTAATGTAGCGAATATTATCATCATCATCATTATATCAGACGTCCACTGCTGACCATAGGCCTCCCCCATTGACTTCCACTTCGACCGGTTGTTAGCGGCCTCCAACGCGTCCCTGTCGCGATCTTAGCTAGGTCGTCCGTCCACCTTTCCGAATATTATAAATTGTTGTTTTTCAAAAACTCACATGTATTGAAAATCCATAAATTTAATAACTCTTCACTAGACTAGGGTGTGAGCGGGTGTTAAATATTACGTTTTGAAATGTTACATTTGAAAATTCCTGATCTTCAAAATATCGGCTAGATCTATTTTTTAAACAGCATTTCGGGCAAACCATCCTTCTAAAGTTATCTTAGATTTTTAAAATCTTTGTAAGGGTGACTGAACGACTGATGTTGTGCCTTATTTGTACAGATTACCTTACCTTATTTATAGACCTTATTTTTACGGTGGTAGGGCCACACAGCAGCCTCGGCTGTTGCACGAATGGGCAGGCCCGTCCGGGTAAGTACCACGACCTCACAGAAGACCGGCGTAAAGTGGAAGTATGACAAATACTTTCGCGTTTCGTCTGGTGAGTGAGGTAGCCGGAGCCCAATTTTCAAAAGGTTGTCAACGCATCTGTAACCCTCGGGTGTGGCAGATGTCCATGGGCGACGGTATACACTTAACATCAGGTGTACCGTCTGCTCGTTTGACAACTTTTCGCATAAAAAAAAAAAAAAAAAAAAAATAGACCATTTATAAAGATTCAACGTTGCAATAGAAATTTGAAACGGTAAAAATCCGGATATTTTGTTGATTAGTGTTTATTAAGTTTAAGAATTATGACACTCAAAATCTTAGTAACGACTATGAACTCTATTCAACAATAAAAGAAACTACAAACTACATACCCATAAATGTATACATATACATCGACTTGTTTATTACACAATTCCATACTATGATTTTTATTATTTCTTCGTATATACAGAAAACGTGCCATTTTTGCGTTAACGCTATTCATCAGTTCATGTTACGGTGCTAGTTCGACTTCGATAAAATTTTATGAGAACGCCAAAACAGCATGGCTCATTAAATTTGAAATATTTTCTATTTAACAAAAAAAAAGACACACGACGGCTTTTGTTTGTCACGACGCATATTATTAAAATACCGTATAATGTACTTAAAAAACTAAATATCGCATAGAAGCATCTGTAAAGATCAACCGTATTTGTTTGTAATTTGTATTTTAAGTAATAAAATCACACGAAGGTTCCGTTGTGTAAATATGAACTATAGAATATATCGTAAAGATCGAGTTTCAATGCATTGTGTTTACGATAAGGGACAATAGCTGTATTTCAGCACCAAAATCGAACCGGGAATCAAGATGGAGTTTATATTACGGGTTACAAGTACTAGCAGTCCAAATAAACTTTGCTATGATAATATTAACATTACATATTCACACCATGACAAAATATGCACTTTCTATGGAAGTTCTCAACATTTTTCTATTTTATTTCGTGGGGTATGTATATAGCAAGCGAGCAAGCTACCGGCCTGCAGGTGATAAACATTGACACATTTTAATGAGATAGGCCCAGGTTACCTAACTCATCAGACGAAGTACTTCTGAATCGTGAAACAGCTAAGACTACTACGTGGCCTTACAGCAGTTTTACGATTCTGGCTACAATTAGCTTTATAACTAAAGGATTGATACAAAGACTATCAATCAACAAATCACTGATCATAAAAGCGAATACGATTCTTCGATATTAAAAACGATTCCGGCGAAGAGGATAGAAAAATCTCACTTTGAGTTTGAGGTCTCCCTTTCTGAAGTGCTTGGGCTTGACCTTGAAGTCGAGCGCCAGGCTCGTGGTCTCGAGGCCGTCCTCGTCCTTGAAGGTCAGGGGCGGGAGTACGGTCGCCGCTGGGGCCGCCTCGCCGTTGATATACCAGGCGAGCCGCGTGGCCGGGCGAGACCGCCCCGAAGTGCAGTTCACCTGCACCCGGTCCCCGATCTGGTACCGCAGTCTGGACCCCGTGATCGTCGGGCCGTGATCGGGCAGGGCTAAAACGATGGACGTATATGGTGCTATGCCACTAATAGCAGGAGGAATGAACATTAATCTCCCCATGACCGAGAAAATTATTTGTAAGTGATACAAATGCTTATTTTGCGGAAATCAAGCGTAACACTCCCGATGGCGAAATCATTACTCATTTATATTAGAAAAGCGCAATTTAGATCTTCTAATGTGTCTGCCTACTTAAATTGAGATATATCATTTATTTACTCAGATTTCAGTAAATAAACGATATTTTAATTTTCATCTTTTGAGATATATCTCTGTCATTTATAATATCTTAATACATCATTTCGTTTTCCCCAAATTTCACAGTGTAATATAGATTAAGAACTTAATATTACCTATTAAATTACGGGGTCAAGTAATATAGCAGTAAACGTACGATCTAGTCATAAAACACAAACCCTTTTAGTTATAACTTGACCATAAATTTCGTTTAATTATGCTTTTACTTTCTGCCAGTTAATTTTGAAATTACCGCCTATTTATATCATAAAATTAATTTATTATTATAATTAATGATTCTCACTTAATATCATATTATAAAATCGTAAATAGCATTCATTATTAATTCGCTTACACAGTCATGTTAGAATAATTCATTGTGAGGTAAGAAAGAAATGTGATTATGTAAGAAGAACCAATATTAAGATATTGATTTAATACTCTGTTTTCTTTGGTACAGAACGTTACTCTGTCCTAATAATAAAAAAGTAGTAAATAGCCTAATTAACATTTAAAGTTGTTTACGCTATTTATGCTATCTTATTTTGCCCAACCAACCATCTTTAATATTTTATCAGATGAGATCCATATCGACCTCTCGATAAAGTTAATTCATAACAGTAGCCAATGACCCGCGATATTTACCCACTATTATCATATCGGCGTGGTCAGAAACGGTCGGGAAAAGCGGCCTCTCGCCGGACACTTCGCATCTGTACCGTCCACCTGTCTCCAATACCGCTGGGAACAGCGTTATGTTGGATCCATTCGGGCTTGATTGCTGCAAAAATAATTACTCGCATACAAATAAATACATGACGGATTACTGACTAATCAATATTCGATCTAAAGATAGATTTGGTTACTGGAGATAGAATTTTGAAGCAAGTACTATGGAGCTAATGTCAAATAGCTATCGCGAGTAACAAAATCTATCTGTAGATAGAAACCGGTCGTTAAAATGCCTGACCGGGACTTCAATAGTCAAGCGCATTTCTATGTGTTATGAGAATAGAGAGAGTTATAAGAGCTATCAATAAATTTGCTTGACCCTCATAAAAAACATACATATGTAACTTGTAAAACATATAACGAATGTAATTGAACTATGTTGTGTTGTTGTTATGACTCCGTGAATTTCGATTATTGATAATTTGGTCGTAATATGTATATACCTATAAGTTACCAATCTTCTAAAATAATGGTGTCCACGATCGTTCCAACATGCCATTTTGAAAATGTAACTAAAATAATTATTGTCAACATCAAATTAAACGGATTAATACAACGTTCATAAATCCAAATTATTGTCCATATCTTATTGACGGTGTCTGGTGTAGAATCCGTCAGTTCGTGACACAAAAAACCTAATAGCGGAGCTGACAGAAAATCATCATATAAGCATAAGCCGGCCGCTCCGAACAGTTTTCCACTCTGAAATACAATACGCGCAGTAATAAAGTTGCTTTATGTGTACAGGACTTTACGTGTTTATGTTTAAGCGGCAATTGAAGGAAGCAGAAACAGTTTCCAACGTGAGTGCTGGTGTGTACACGTACCACTTCAAGTTGCAATATCCGTTCTAGTTTTCTCCTAGTTTGTACAACGCTCCATCTGAGAGACCCGAGCTATTCAATTTAATAGAAGAGAATTAGTATATAAATTAAAACGTGACTCCTCATACGCCTACCTACGAACAGCAATGGAAATTGCACAACGAACTTTGCATCCGAAATTGTAAAATTATTTTCTATCAGATAGATTTGAGATGTTATGCCAACTTGGTCAATGTTCTGAAAAGGTTCAGATATAAATGACATAGCGTCATAGACTGTGATGGAAGCTTTTACAACTGGAACCATGTAATTTTCTCACGTTCTCAAAGTCTGGTGCTATAACTGCAAACAGAATTAGAAATGTTCTGCGTTGTTTCCTGTATTTAATTTATCCTAAACAAAACTACATAGCTTCTTCAGCGTCGTTATCCATTATTTATGCAAAACACCAGTATATAATTACACGTGTAATTGTATATAGTATGAGAAGCCCGGTTTCCCTGTGTCGAAACGTTTAGCGTTCACTAGAAAAAAGGTTTCCCGCTGAACGTTATCGCCGGTTGGAAGCGGTGCCGCGCGTAGATATATTTAGGTGTCACTCAAACGCCGCAGCACGCACGCAATTTCGGTGAGTCAACTTCATTACGTGCTATAGATTACAATCGCGACATCCATTACGGAAAATAAGCGTCGCCATAAAGCATGTCTCGTCCGGGCCGGCGGTTGGGGCTCCAAGTTATGTAACTGGTAAAAAATGCTCATGTTTAGCGTGTGTCTTAAACGTATGTTTTACGCGTGGCATTTGGATCACTTATTGAGATATGGATTAATGTAGATTGTGTAGATTGGCATTAATATATTAAGCATACGAGATGGCAGCATTGATACCCCTATTTTATGCATAGACTACTTTAACACATAACGATTCGTTTTAGTTTACGAATATATCATAGCTTGTTACATTACGATTTAATAATTCCTTTTAGTTAAATTAGGTCATAATTAATGTAAAATTATATTTTTGATGCCGTATCTTTCTCAATAAATAAAAAAGGTAAATAGATTAAAAACTATCCTGAAAATACAGTCCTGACCTGGCTATATTATTACAACAGACATAATAGCGCCCGGTTTCTGAAACACTTAACATCGTATATGTTAACTAATCAGCTTTCAAATGACTTTTCAAATGTCATTTAAGTTGCCAAGAGGGTGGTTAAACGTTTTGAATTAATCATTCTGATTATTAAGAAGATCATTCTGATCAATTCAGAGGGTTTAACCATCCTTTTGATAACGGCAGCTGATTAATTGACATCTACGATGATCAGGGTTTCAGAAACCGAGCGTAAGTCTTTGATTTTGATTATTACTCGTAGCAAAAAAATATTTTTGAATATGATAAAACCAGACCCGTTAAATTGCTAATTTCAGTGAAATAATATTTCCGTCAATGAAATAGGTGCGGACAATGATATTATTTAATTTCCACAACAAGAAACATACTTTAAAAATAAAGCGAGTGTATCGAATTTTCGTTATCTTTGACAAACACAGCCTCGGGCCATTAGACGGGACACTTACCTCGACATCCACCCCAGGCAGGAGAAATTTCCTGCGCGGTTCGACGTCGCGCGGCACGTGACGGAAGAACTCCTTTCCGTCTTTGTACCACTTGACTGAGTAGAGGACGTCTGTGGGGCCCAGCTTCCAACGGCAGGATAGGGAGGCGCGCGTGCCTAAGGGCACGTGTGCCGGGACCCGTAGCTCCAGCAGCTCCAGACCCGTCACTATGTACCCTGAAACAATCAGACGGTAAGCTATCCTTTTTTTATGTGAAAAAGTGGCAAACGAGCCGACGGTTCACCTGATGTTAAGTAATAACCCATGGACATTTGCAACACACGTAGGGTTGCATGCGTTGCCAACTTGAAATAAAGTGGGCGCCGACTACCTCACTCACTAGACGAAACGCAGAAGTGTAGCCTTTCTACTTCACGCCGGTCTCCTGTGAGGTCGTGGTAATTACCCGGACGAAGCTGCCCATTGGTGCAACAGTGAAAACTGTTGCGTGGCCCTACCACAGTTTGCTTCGATTACTAATTTCCACGGCATCGTGTTGGGTCACATTTCAGCTTTGAATACACGCGTATTTTATTCGCATGCAGGTAGCGCGTTACGGGGGCAGAAATCCATTAAACGCCGTGTCAAATAATTTCCCATGTGACGCCCGCTCGCGGCCCGTAAAAGAGGCACTATTGCCCCCGCCCAGCGGTGGAAAATATTACTTTACGATCCGCACCCGCGGGGCGCAGCGCTAAAGTAAATTGACGGATAAAGACAACGCGACTGATGCATTAGGTTAATGTCTATGAAAATATTGTTGGTGACGTATAAATTATACGATTTGAGCGTCTTTTGATCACTGCCGTTTGGCGAAAGATTGTTATCGTTTTTAGTATTCAACATCCCACTTGGTAATTCAAAACCGAGAAAATATGGGAATAAGATAAATCTATAGAATGCAAGTATTCAAAACTTTCGTGATACATTGTAACGAAAGAATACGACGGCTAAAATCACGTTTAATCGATGTATGTACTGACTAGTTTCGGACTTATCGAAGGTCCTTTATCATGATGAGTGGGATTAGTTCGCGGTCGTGCCCGTCTACTAATCCCACTTACTTTCTTATTATTTTGATCCATAGAATAACGCTATTCTGAGGTTTATCACTCATGTGATTCAAACAATGAACTGCCTTATTAATTGGTATGATGTACATTTAAAGATGGTTATTTTACTTAAAGGTAACAAACCCATTGGTATTTCTACTCGTGCCGATGACTACAACTACAATATTTCAACACTGAGTCACCTCGAAAGACTCTCTTACTACGGTATACCTTCTGTGCGGGATAAGGTCATGAAAACAAGGACATAAAGTACACGTGGCATAACTATATATGGAGTACAAAAATTCTTAACACACTTGTCGCATAGCGTGCAATCGTGAAAATCGAAAATAGACCATTGCCATCCGAGCTTGCACCTCTCATGCACATTTTGCCGTGGGCACTATTGGACAACTTTAGAATACGAAGAATTGAAACATATCTGCTCAATAAATAAAAAAAATGTCGCCTCTAGCGACAATTATTTCGCAACAGCGAACGAGCGCGAGAAACAAGACAGAGAATGACAATCGTAGTGCGTCGGTAAACTCGGACGGTTGAAAGGCTCAAAAAGAGATGTCGTGAATTTCAAGTGTCGTAACTTGAGCCGGTCGCCATATGCCACGCTAACAATCGTTGTGGGGGAGGCTTTGAACGCTTGCGGCTCCATCCGACCGCTGCCTCGACGGCCGAACAATAAAGCAATTTAATTCATGTCGAAACAAAAGCGCACGCCCTTTGTCGATTCATTTGTTCCATTACTTTTTGTCAACTATTTATTATTTGCGTTAAGGTTATAATCGTTTGTTTTGCAATAAAATTCGTTCATGTTCCGTTATTTTACGCATGATTTGTAAAGGCATCGATATTTATAAATTGTTACGCTCAGTGAGTAAATCTGAGTCTAGTCATTGGGACTGTTACTGCGATAGTTCAACGGAATAGGTACGAAATTGTGAATCTGGTTCGTGCTCATAGTCGAAACTTTATATTATTTAATATTTCCGGGTATTGTTCCGAGAGCCACATTGATGCTTATAAATTAATAATATACTAGTGTCTTACTTATTACTATAATTATATGCGGTTTTGTATGAAAGGCTTATATTATGATAATAAAGTACTCATCGTCACCAATTACATCAGTTGATCAATGTCTTTAAAAGATCTGACAAAGTCAGGAAAACTTATGGATGGTCTTCAGAAGATATGAATAAAAAAATAAAGGGATACATTTATAATTAAAAGAAAATGTATTTATAAATTTTCTAAGCTGTTCATATAGGATATAAGTTGTAAAATAACGAAAATTTGGCAAGAGCTGGTAATTACGCCGACAAAACAGGTCGTTATAAAAAAAAATTCTTTGTTGTCAAACACTCGATGATGATCTCGTTGAACAATTGGATGAACCCATTAAATTGATTCACAATCAAAAGGGTGCAAAATTTTTATATTTATTCTGTTCATACATGAAAAATGGAACATTTTGTTTTCTTTTTCATGACGTTCTTCATTACACAGCGCATATTTCTTACAAACATACGAAGAGCCTGGGGGCTGGAGGGTGCACTTGCGGGACGAAATATAACTAAGTGAATGAGCTTGCCGAAGGGGTCTGAGCACCCCATACAAGATAGTGCACGGCGCACTTCAAATCACCTGCAGGAACCACGGCAAGCTGTTACTTAAGTAATTACTTCAAAACTTATAATTTAAAGGCAATTTTTTGCGGTGACTCTGATATTCGCGTAGAGTTGTATTTGAACAGAAGTAGGATTTTTAATTAAACTATAAAAATATTTGCCAATGAAATACATGAGTTAGATCGGTAAATTCATATAACGATGCTAAAATCTAATGTATATTAGTCATATATTAGTCGTAGTGACATATACATATTAGTCCCTCGTCACCAATACATTGGCAAAAAGATTAAGTAATTTTACTTGTTAGGGGTCGAATAACTTTGTCGGCTATGAGCTTGGTTGGTATAAAACGATTGCTTATACACCTTCAAATAGCAATCTTTTATACATCATTCTTATATGCGTGTGTGGATTCGGGAATGGTTTAGATTCAAAATTCGGTCCACTACTATTTTTTATTAATTAGTTATTGTCGGGTTTAAGACGTGATGTACAGGAAAAGGTGTTTCGAGTCCGCGTTTCGTATAAAAAGTGATTTATAATGATGAAAAAAAAGGTAATACCTGTATAGAAAATGTAAGATATCAGCTGAAAACTTAGTGAGATATAGATAGTATCACATGTTCAATATTTCGCTTAAAATGTAGGGGAAAATTTGATCGAAAGGATTCAGGAACTTGAAACATAATCGCAAATTTTCGTCTTCGCGCTAGATTTATTTTTTATTGATTTAGTTATGTTGGGATAATCAGACGAAATCGGTATTGAATTTAAAATATAGGTTACTTTTGACTTCCATTCATTACAACATGTTCACAAGGAATGGGTTTAAACAGAAAAAATCTACAAACGGTTTAACTTAATAGGGCGACAGAACAGCTTCTGCTTATAAATCAATGGGCTAGGTCAACCGGGGAAGAACCACGAATAAGAAAAAAATTTTTACTGTGGTAGGGTTACGCAACTGTTTCTGCTGCTGCACATAGGAAGGGAAGGGAATTTTACATAAAAATTAATACAGTCGTAAGTAGTAAAAAGATGAGCCTACAATATTATACCATTATATATATATATATGTACATATTGGTATAATACTCTTATTATAGCCTACGTGATCAACAGTATCAACTCCACACATTGACGTCGTCAAGATATTCCGTAATGGTATAATATGCTTTTTTTATTAACTTAACATCAAGTTAACCACATGCTCGCGTGACTAGTTTTCACATAAAAAAACTTAGATACTTGGTGTTATACAATCGATACGTCGCATATTTCCACCTACTGGAGCTTTTAATTATTCTGTTCCTGTGTTTTCTATGCAAAAATCGATTTAATTGTTGTTCGTCACGTAATTGGGGAAAGCTTGTAGCTACAACGTGATACAAAAGCCCTTGCTACAGCTCTGGGGTGTTAACGAACTCGTAACACTAACGGTATCTGATGCAAAAAAGTATTTTTTTAATTTTTTTAGCAACGGTATTTGTTCACCATGGGTAATAGTTGTACACCAACCATGGCCCATGGTGAACAATGGCATCACCTCCAAAAATTGTTAAATTACGTTAAAGATTAGGCAGGTTAGCTTACATAGGTTAGATTTTCAAGATTTCATTATATTAGAGTTATTATAAACTTTTAGCGCTAATAGAGTTTTTTGAAGTTCTTTCTTTTTTTAAAAAAAAACTCTTTATTAAACACCTAATGGGGGCTATGGAATTAGACCTCGTTCTTGAGAAAATCGGTGGTAACACACGGACAGATAGACGGACAAGAGAGTGATCTTATATGGATTCCTTTTTTTACCTATTAAGGCATGGAACACTAAAAATAAAAACAAAAATATAACGCACATGAAAATAAAAATAAACTTTTTTCTCACAACCCTTTTATATTGTTTACGTGAGGTTTTAGCGACACAATCGAAAATTAATCGTCAGAATTGAAAGAATGAATCGAAAGTAAAAGCCAACGGTGTTTCGCTGTAATTAAAAATCAGTCACTTTGACGGGGCTATAGAATTATGACCTCTATTCTTTTTTCAAAATGGTTGTTGCTATTCATGAAATATATTTAGCTTGAAATTGATGTTTTACCTACTTAAAATACCCTATTTTTTACATCTGATTGTTTGGCAATGTTGGTTGTATGTATGCTGTTGTCGAAAGCTGGACCTTAAGTAATAAATTAATAATTTTACATTTAATAGATTTAAAACAATAAGAAGTGCCGACATTATGACTGCCGTCGTTGGATGATGTTCTTTACTTCTAAGAATATGTAAAGTGTAAGAGACTTAACAAAGGTTGCAGTTTCCAGGGCTTTATTCTTAATAACACTATGTATATTATTTTTATTTATTTATGCGTTACATTTCAAAAGAAATAAAGTAACTCAAGGAATGAGAGATGCTATTACTCGCTGAATATAACTAAGGACCAGGAATGTATAGTCTTTGGTGTGAATCGCTATCGACAGAAGCAATTAATTTCAGTAACCGAATTAAAAAGCAGTGTAGGTATATATGATCCGGAATGTTTGACGAGACTATCATTACGTAGTTCCAGACGTGGGGAAACGCGACCGAAGCTTGTATTTCATAAAAAAACAGAATCACGTAGCATTTAAATGTATTTTCCTTATAAAAGGGTCCACACAAAAGACAAAATCTTTTGTTGTTCCTACTAATGAAGGGCCAAAATGGTTTGTGTACAGTACAACTTTGTATTTTGGGTAACTGAAAATATGCGTGATTTTTTTTCCCGCTATTGAACCGGATACGGTGCATTCTTTTAATAAAATATGTTAATAAATTTGAGAATTTTGTCTTAGTCTCAGTATCAAATGCTTTAGAACAAACGTAATTTAATTTTTTAAGTTATTGATATTACACGCAGCTTATTAATAAATCATATTATACACAACTTTTCATGATGTTTTTTCTGCTTTAACCTGTAAGAATGATAATTATAAGTTTCTAAATTAAATTTAATGTTAATTCTGTTTTATATTGGAGGATCAACATTTAATGATCTCACCCGAAACGAGGAAACCGTTTTCTAAACTTTTTTTTAATTCACGTCTTGTTCAAAGCGTACTTGTTCTACCGCCTGTCAGTAAAAGGGAGTGTTCGTTACAGTTCCCATTACTGTTTCTTGTAGTACTATGTACGAGATGAAATGTAGCAATTGGGGCAAGAACGTTTAGTAATAGTTTCGCTACTTCCGTCATGACGATCAGGGGCTGAACTAACAACTAACTTTTGCTTCTTTTCTTTGCGAATGTTCGAAATTTAAATTCTTTTGAAAATGGAAAATGGCAAAATCGTGTAGCGCGGGATATAAGAGTGATGACACGACATTTTTTTCTTTTGCGGCGGTTTTAATTTTCATTCCCACCCTTCTAGATAGATTTAATTGTGGAACGTGAAGCGATTGCGAGCGATCACGCGATACGGGGCGTTTGTTAAGGGACACGAAGAGTTAACGAACTGACAGACGACGTCTACGTCATACCCGCCAGCGGTACGGTGTAATCTAAATTAAGAAAAAGGAATGCTTTTACCTGGCGCTCGCTTTGCTTAAATTCGCAGATAATTCTT